AAAAAAAAAAAAAAAAAAAAAAAAAAAAAGAATCTGTCTCAAAAATAAATAAATAAATACCTCTTTACAGCAGATTTGCATATTTAGCTAAAAACAGATCCAGGCCAGGTATAGTGACTCACGCCTGTAATCCCACCTATTTCGGAGGCTGAGACAAACAGATCATTTGAGCTCAGGAGTTCGAGACCAGCCTGGGCAACATGGTTAAAACCCCAACTCTACCAAAAATACAAAAAATTAGCCAGGCATGATGGCATGTGTCTGTGGTCCCAGCAACTTAGGAGGCTATGGTGGATCACTTAAGTCTGGAAGGTTGGAGGTTGCAGTGAGCTGAGATCATGCCACTGCACTCCAGCCTGGGTGACAAAGTGAGACTCTGTCTCAAAAACAACAACAACAAAAAAAACCCAAAACAGATCCAATCGATTCTACAGAAAAAGGTTTCTTGACTTTGTGCCATGAGAAAGTAATCTCAAGGCATTATACTATCTGATTTGCTTTATTTTTAACTAGACAAGGAGAAGTTTCTGACTTGCCCTCCCTCTTGTTCCAGCACAAGTCCTAGTAGTGCATCAACATAGTATGTTGAGGCTCTCCACTAAGAGAGTCACTGACACCAGAGAAGGCTTGTGAGCTCCTCAAGGGCAGGGGTCAGGTCTGTGCCTTCCAGGTGCTAGGTAAGTGTTGCGCAGCAGATGGCTTGCTTCGGGGTCTTGTGCATGTGTGCTAAGTGTAGTCGCAAGCCTCCAAGCAGCCTTGCAGTGATAATGCAATCAAATAAACAGAAACAAAGAATAAAACATTTAAAGACTAGATTCTATTCATCTTACCATCAGTAAAAAAATATGATCTGGTCCCATCTTGTCTAACATAAAAGTTTTCTCCAAGTTTGCTGCCGGCTTTAAACCTAAGCATGGCATGATCATACAGCCCGTAGTCACGAAACAAGACACTTTTTCCTGGTTTTAATACCTACGAAACAAAAGCAGGCTAAATGTGACTTTGGAGAACCCTGTCCAAATAAAACCTGATTAAGTTAGGACTTGAAATGAATTTGTGATCATTATTAAGGGGACAGACTGAAATACACATAATATGGAACCAAAATGGCCTATTAGTTAAAAAGATATTAAGATTGGTCAGGACTCCACAACACTAAGACACTTCTGTTTTTGTTTTTTTTTTTTTGAGATGAAGTTCTGCTCTGTCGCCCAGGCTGGAGCGTAGTGGCATGATCTCAGCTCACTGCAACCTCCACCTTCCGTGTTCAAGTGATTCTCAAGCCCCAGACTTCCAAGTAGCTGGGATTATAGGTGCCTGCCATCATGCCCAGCTAATTTTTTTATTTTAGTAGAGATGAGGTTTCATCATGTTGGCCAGGCTGGTCTCAAACTCCTGACCTCAAGTCAACTGCCCAACTCGGGCTCCCAAAGTGCGGGGATTACAGGCATGAGCCACCTTGCCAAGCCCTGAAGACGCTTTTTGAGTACCTCCAAGAGCGCTCTGGAATATCCAGCGTCACAGGTTTAAAATGTTAGAGACCAACCTGGGCAATATAGTGAGACCACATCTCTACAAAAAATTAAAAATTAGCTGGATGTGATGGTGTGTGCCTGTAGTTCCAGCTACTTGAGAGGCTCAGGTGGGAGAACTGCTTGAACCCAGGAGATTGAGGTTGCAGTGAGCCAAGTCCATGTCACTGCCCTCCCTCCAGCATGAGTGACACAGCGAGACTCTGTCTCAAAAAAATAAAGTGTTAGAGACAATAAATAAAAGTGTTATCCTCATCAAAGTACTCTCTTACAACATTTTATTCACCATCTCCTAGTACTCAAACTGTATTCAACTTTTTTTTTTTTTTTAACAGTCCAGAGGTCTTTTATTTTATTTTATTTTTTAACAACTACTATGCCATGAATTCATAGGGAATAGGTTCCAGCAGCTCAGGCTCCTTCCCATTGGTTCTCACACAGTGCGCCTCTCTGGGTGGAGCAGGCAGGTGCTTCACTTGAACCTAGGTACCTTTCTCTTTGGCTTCTTTTTCTGATCATTCTCCTTCACGCATTTCAGGAAGCTATCTCAACTCTCAGTGCTTGATGTGCTCAATACGCACATTAATTCTCTTGGCAAGACTCTTGCCCTTGTTTGTTTACAACAATGCCAACAGCATGCTGGGTAACATTGTAGACTCTTCCAGTTTTGCCATGATAACATTGGTGGGGCATTCCTTTTTGAAGGGTACCCATGAACAGCACCCATTCCCTTGATGTCTACAATAGCACCTTTCTTATAGATTCGCATATACGTGGCCAAAGGACAACTCCATGTTTTCTAAGAGGCCTAGAGAACATATATTAAGTGTCTCTCCTCTTTCCTTTTGTGTTTGTCATTTTGGTGAATTACTGGAAGATGACGTTTCCTCAACTCTTTCTTTAAAAAAAAAAAAAAAAAACAGAATGTCATTTTGGCTTTTTACTGATTCAGGTTAGTCTTCCTCATTCTGAGTCTCAGCTCTCATTTCACTGTGCCACAATATGTAGCTCAATGATGGTGCTAATGACTGATACACGCCTAGCATTTGACAGCTTAACCATACATTTTCTCATTGTCTCTTCACCCAATTGTGAGACAAGGGAATGTGATTATTATTCTCAGGTGAGATAAGGAAACCAATACTCAAAAGGGTTAAGTGATCATGCATTAACTTTTTTTTAGAGACAAGGTATTGCTATGTTGGCCAGGCTGGTTTCGAACTCCTGACCTCAAGTGATTCACCCGCCTCGGCCTCCCAAAGTGCTGAGATTACAGATGTGAGCCACTGCACCTGGCCAAACTGTGTACTCTTGACCACTGAACCATAACTCCTCTCACCTTAGAGCAGGACTCCATGGATTCCAGGTAACTGCAAAATCATCCTTGTCCCAGGGCTGGCCAAGCTGTAAAGAGCAGCCATGCCACTACACAAATCGGAATTTACAGTGGATGTTTTATGCCAGAGGACCCCTTTCTAAACACTGACTACAGTCTACCTAGTGAGGATGGAGACACCATGTGAATCTAGACAGTACATGAGCCTCGTGAAAGAGGGTAAGCAAAAGAATCAAAACTGTCCAACTCTCAAGTGCAGGCCCCAAATGACTAACCTTGTAAATGTTTTGTAAGACAAGGTGCATCTTATCAGGATGAATAGCTGAGAGCACAAATATCAACATAACAACATCCACAGATTCTGTTGGTACATGATCCAGAAGATCATCTTTCGTCAGATCACACTGGAATACCTTGCATCTTTCTGTGTCATATAAAGGATTTTGCTAGAGGGGAAAAAATACGAATGGATTTTAATGCAACCACTATGCTGATACATATAGAAAAATACAACATCAAAAGGTGACCCTATTTCTACTTGTATACATAGAAACGATAACTTTGTTACCAGATAAAACTGATTAATAAATCACTCACATATAAAGCATGTAATATTCACTACAGCTACAAGGGGCAAGACTTCATTTTAATAAATCATTTTTAACTGAGGAGAGAATAAGAGTATCACATATTCAAAACTGAGCATTTTAGAAGCATATTATTTCCAGAGGGATGATGATCCAAAACTGGCCTCTGCTTCTTTCTTTTTGTTTCTTTAAAGAGACAGGGTCTCACTCTGTCCCCCGGGCTACATGTAGTGGCATGATCATGGCTCACTGCAGCCTTCATCTTTTGAGCCCAAGTCATCCTCCCACCTCAGCCTCCAGAGCTTCTGGAACTACAGGTAGGCACCACCGCATCTGGCTAAATTTTTATTTTTGTAAAGACGAGGTCTTGCTATGTTGTCCAGGTCAGTCTTGAACTCCTGGCCTCGAATGATCCTCCGACTTCAGACTCACAAACTGCTGGGATTATAGGCATGAACCACCATGTTCTGCTGGCCTCTGGCTTCCTTAATTCCCCTTTAAATCATCTGCTACAAGCTTAAACCCTATGAGAAGCCCTTCCAATTCCCCTTGTTGAGATGCTCCCACAGTTCTTCTGTGGTATATTTTCTCTTGATGCAGCAAGCTAAATAAACTTAACCTTTTTTTGACTACAAATGTGTCCCTGGTACATTTTGGTTCGTAGCCTTCAACATATGTATAAGAGTATTATGAAGAAAAATATTAAACTTTTATTTCATGTAAATGTGGACCCAAATAAATATACAAAGTTACTGGATGGGAAAATTAAATGCAAAGTTAAAAAGATGTCAATTCTATTCATAATTCCATTTGTAAATCCAATGCAATCTCAACTGAATCCCAATAGATTTCTAGAAACTTGACAGGATGAATCTAATTAATCAGAAAAAATCTTTAAGAATAGCCAAGTTAGCCACGCAAGGTGGCTCAGGTCTGTAAACCCAGCACTTAGGGAGGCCAAGGTGGGCAGATCACGAGGTCAAGTGATAGAGACCATCTTGGCCAACATAGTGATACCCTGTCTCTACTAAAAATACAAAAATTAGCTGGGCGTGAAGTATCTGTAATCCCAGCTACTTGGGAGGCTGAGGCAGGAGAATCCCTTGAAGGGAAGGATTCTCCAGGAGGTAGAGGTTGTAGTGAGCCAAGATCGCGCCACTGTACTCCAGCCTGGTGAAAGAGCGAGATTCCATCTCAAAAACAAAAAAAAAATAATAGCCAAGTCAATTTTTTAAATGATGAACAATGAAGTGAGTGTGGTGGCTCATGCCTGTAATCCCAGCAACTTGGGAGGCTGAAGTGAAAGGATTGCTTTACTTCAAAGCTGCAGTGAGCTATGATCTGTGTCACTGCACACCAATCTCATCTTGTAAAAAATAAATAAAAAAGAAATAAAAGAATGAAGGTAAAGGAGGAGTTTCACTACTGGACATCAAAATATATTACAAAATGTAGTAATAAAACACAGTTTGAGAATGGAGACAAATATATCACTGAGACAAAACAGAGTCCCAAAACAGACCTGTGCATACTGTATATATAAAGAGGATTTTGTATGTTATATGATAAAAGATAGACAAAGATGACAATTAGATAAAAAGGCAGATAAATAAAGATGACAATTATGAGTGAGGAAAAATTATTTCTCACTCAATTTACAGTGTTCAGAAAAAGTGGCTACCCATTTGAAATAAAGGACAATCACAGGCCCACTGTACCAGTTCAAATATGGACAAGCAGAACATTAGAGAACAACGCCCTCTCCCACACCCTACCACCAAGTCTCCAAGAATAACAGTAAACTGCAGCTGGGAGAGCCGAAACACACAGACTCTTTGGGAAACAGTACAAAGGGAAGAACCAAATCCAAGGGAGGAGACAAAGCAAGTTGCTAGAGGAGTTTGAAGTCTCTGGTACCCACAGCAACAACAAACCTCACAGGCAGCAATAACAGACTTCAAACAACAGCCCAATTCCTGACTAGATTACTACAAATCCCTATCCCTCAGTGTCTACTGGCACTTATAAAAACTATGTTCAGCTTTAACCAAAAAGTAGAAAACATCCCAGAAAGCAAGAAAAAATACAGTGTGAAGAGAATAAGCAATCACCAGAGCCAGACTCAAATATGACAGATGCTGGATCCAAAAGCTTGGGTATTTAAAATAATTACGATTAAAATGTCAAAGACTCTGACAGAAAAGATAGATAACACGCAAAATCAGATACATAATTTCAGGGATGGAAACTATAAAAAGACTCAAAGAGAAATGCTAAAAACCAAAAACATGGTAACAGAAAATGAACACTTTTAACAGGTTCCTCAATAAAACAGGTACTGTCTAGGAAAGAGTCAGTGAACTTGATGATAGGATAATAGAAATCACACAGACTGAAAACGCAAAAAGGAAAAAACTGTGGGAAAAATCCTAAAATAGCATCTAAGGGTTGTGGGGAAATAGTAAATGTTACACATGTAACTGGAATCCCAGAGGGAGAAGAGAGAACAAGAGCTAAAGAAAGAATTTAAAGAAATAATGACCCTAATTTTTCCAGATTAAAAAACATAACGAAAATTATAAAATAACTATTTAATCAAGAATTACTAAGAGCAATATATAGGTGATTATGTCTAAATCCTAGCAGTAGCTGGGCGCAGTGGCTCACACCTGTAATCCCAGTACTTTGGGAGGCTGAGGCAGGAGGATTGCTTGAGCCCAGGAGTTCAAGGCCAGCCTGGGCTAGTAAGACTTCATCTCTAAGAAAAATCAAGTAAACCCTAGGAGTAAAGGGCTCCTAAACAAGACATAAAAATGTACTTCAAAAGGAAAATATTAATATTTTGCCTTAATAACTTAAATCCTTTGTAGCCTGGGCAACACAGCAGGTCCCCATTGCTACAAAAAATATATATATTTTTTTGGGACGGAGTTTCTCTCTTGTTGCCCAGGCTGGAATGCTGTGGTGTGATCTTGGCTCACTGCAACCTCTGCCTCCTGGGTTTAAGTGATTCTCCAGCCTCAGCCTCCAGAGTAGCTAAGATTACAGGCATTTGCCACCACACCCGACTAATTCTTTTATTTTTAGTAGAGATGGGGTTTCACCATGTTGGCCAGGCTGGTCTCAAACTTCTGACCTCAGGTGATCTACCTGCCTCAGCCTCCCAAAGTGCTGGTATTACAGGCATGAGCCACCACACCCTGCTCTACAAAAAAAATTTTGAAAATTAGGCAGACATGGTGGCACATGCCCATGGTCCCAGCTCAGGAAGCTGAAGATCACCTGAACCCACAAGGTTGAGGCTGCAGTGAGCTGCGCTTGTACCACCATACTCCAACCTAAGCTACAGTGAGACCTTGTTTTTAAAAAAAAAAATCCTGTGTGGAAAAAAAGATATCGTAAAGCAATGCTGAACATACTGGAAGAAATGTTTGCAATATATATACTACAATATCTAGAATATAACCTGAAAATAAGAAAGAAAATGACAAACTAATAGAAAAATGGGCAGAGGCTATGAATGGACAATATAAGCTTCATGTGGGTGGGAATTTTTGTCTGTTCACTGTTTAACTCCAGTGCTTAAAACAGTGATTGGCACACATTAATCTCTCAATAAACAAATGTAGACCAAAGGAACTCACAGCTAACTAATGCTGTCGACCTTCCACAAGGTCTTCAACCTCTCCAGTAATAAGGAAAACCAAATTAAAATACAGAGACATTTTTTGCTCACAAGATTGGTAAATATAAAAAAGACTGATATCAAGTGTTGAGGCAATAAAGAAAAAGGTACCTTTATATTATTGGTGAAATTATAAATTAGTATGATCTTTTTAGAAGGAAACTTGGCATTGTCTATTAAAATGTAAATGTGCATGCTCTTCTTCCAAAGAATTCTACTTCTTCCATTTTTCATCATAGACAAATGGGCACGCACGTTTTGGGAAGCATATGCATGATGCTGATCACATTAACTCTATTTATAAGAACAAAAAATTAGAAACAATTCAAATAAATATCAATAGGGTAACTGCTAAATAAAGTATGGTATATCCATTCTATGGAATACTATAATAGGTAAATAAAATCTGCATGTACTAACATGAAAAACTGTGCAAAATATAATAATGTAGAGTGAGGAAAGCATGTTATAGTAAATATGATACCACAACTATTTTAAAAAAAATCTACCATGTATATAATGGACAAACAAGTGCTTATTTAAAACATCTAGACTTTCTAGATGTTTAGAAGTGCACAAAGTATGTTAAAAAGTAGAGGTAGTAAATAACATATTTTGTAGATATCCTTTTGTTAAAATTCACTGAAGTATCACCTTTTGGAAATGAAATGATCAAACCACGTCTCTAAGCAGTATACATCATTACATTTGGGTCAGGGGAAAAGGAGGAGAATAAAGTGCAAAGGGCTTTATACCAATGTGCATATAGTGAGGCAAGATTGACACTGTACCTTATTGTCCATGCATTTTCTTTTACTTTGCTGAGCATATAGTGTATATGAAGGACAAATGCATCCTAGTTTGGAACATCTAGTTCTAGATGTTAAAGAGGTTGCCAGCGTATGACAAGTCAGTAACCTAATACATTGAGTAACTTTGTATTCATAGGAAAGACTGTTCTTAAGAACACTTAGGGAAGTGAAATTGTTAAAATCCCCTCTAGGCATTACAGATGCTTATACCTATCCACTGAGTTGATAGAGGTGGGAAGTGTTCTGTGCCAGAATGTTCCTATTTAGATGGCACTTTCAAATGACAGCTTATTATTTATGTGTACCACTTATTCAATGCTACAGTGGAAAACTTAAGTCCTATTTGAAACATCTAGTCTTTCTAGACATTTAAAAGTACACAACATACGTGTACTTCTGGCACTGTAGAGGGCTAAAGTAACAAAAGTAGAGGGCTAATGTAACATCCTTTAAGCATTTTCTGTTATTTCATAGGACTGGTTGCATTTTGGGAATGGAATTATTGAAACGGATGATGTCTTAGAGGGTGTGCTGACTATTCACTGGGCAGTAGTGGGCAGGGGGAGGAGGAAGTATGCAGAGAGTAGGATTCTGTGCCCTTGAGTCAGATTAGCTCAGATTGTCTAGCCATTGTTCTATATGTGCATCTCAGTTAATACTGCTGTGTATTAAAGGATAAACAAGTCCCTGATGCTCAAACTATGCTAAAAGTAGAGGTAGTAAAATAATCTGTTTTTTAGTTTTTAGGAAGGACTATCCTCTGGGAGTGACCTTTGTTAACTGACCTCTTGGAACTAGACATAGTCCTGACTTAGTCACTGGAATGGTAGAAGAGGAGGAAGAAGGGGTAGAGGAAAGGGCTCTTTGCCAGAATTTCCATATTTAGAAGACGGTTTGAGATGATAACCACAGGTCTATATGTACATTTTTAGTAAAGTACCTGTGTTTACTGTGGACAGAGTTCATTATTTTGCAACACCTAACCTTTATAGACATATGTGACAACATACGATAAAAAGCAGAGATACCCCATAACTATATATGTCTACTATGCACCTACAAAATTATTTTAAAACTAGGGCTAGTGAATTTGCCAATTTGTAAATAGCTTTTTGTTATAATTGATAGAAAAGATGAATGTTGGACATGGAGTTGTTAAACCACCTCCGAGCAATGTATATATCAGGATTTGTTCATTAGAGGGGAACAGAGCGGTAGAAGTATAAAGAGATAGATGTATGCAGATGTATTCATATTTACATTTTGACAATAGCCACTAATGTATGTTAGTTTCTCTTAGCTGTACTACGGGAATACATTAAGTAATTCAACGGAAACATATCTTCTTGGTAATATTCCAGTGGCAAAGATCCCATAATAAATTCTCTCGGAAACATTATACTTGGTATACTCTGTTACTTTATGTTCCATTTTAAATTGAGCATTAAGGCAATACAGTCGTTTAATGGGAACTCTGCCAATACTTCTACCTAGAGGTCTGCTACCATATTTGTCTTCTATGAAATTTTTGTCCCAAGACAGGTAAGATTATATTTTCTTCGAACAGATTGAGTTGGTGTAGGGTGTTCTTGGTTATCAAAATACTCATACAGCTTTGAGACTTTCAATTGGTAAATATTCATAATGTGTGATAAAACATGATACACACTACATGATAATGTGTCTATACATACACAGGACCTAGAAGGACAAGTTAAACTGTAAACGGGTTGTGATTGTGGATGACTTTGTTCTTTGCTTCTTGTGTTTCTCAGTTTCCTACAGTAAACATACTAACTTTTTAAAAATAATGGGTTTAGGTTTTGCTTTTGTTCTTTTTTTTAATAGGGTCCTGCTCTGTCACCCAGGCTAGAATGCAGTAGCATGATCATAGCTCATGCAGCCTCAAACTCCTGAGCTCAAGTGGTTTTCCTGCCTGTCTCCCAAACAGCTGGGACTACGGGCACACACCACCACACCTGGCTAATTAAAACTTTTTTGGCCAGGCGAGGTGGCTCACACCTATAATCCCAACACTTTGGGTGGCTGAGGTGGATGGATCACCTGAGTTCAGGTTCGAGACCAGCCTGTCCAACACAGTGAAACCCCATCTCTACTAAAAATACAAAAAAATTAGCTAGGCGTGGTGGCGGGTGGCTATAATTCTAGCTACTTGGGAGGCTGAGACAGGAGAAATGCTTGAACCTGGGAGGTGGAGGTTGCACTGAGCTGAGATTGCACCACTGCACTCCAGTCTGGGCAACAGAGGAGAGGCTCCGTCTCAAAAAATAAAATAAAACAAAAAATAAAGGACATAAGTGTAAGAGGTAGTACTTGACTGGATTATAATCAGCTATAGGTAGGGGATGGTAGCTCATGCCTGTAATCCCACACTCTGGGAGGCCAAGGCAGAAGAATCGCTTGAGCCCAAGAGTTTGAGACCAGCTTAGGCAATATAGGGAGACCTCATTTCTACAAAAATTTGAAAATTAGCCAGGGTCAGGTGCCATGGCTAGCACCTGTAATCTCAGCACTTTAGGAGGCCGAGTTGGGAGGACTGCTTGAGCCCAGGAGTTCAAGCCCAGCAACATAGTGAGACCGTATCTCTAAAATTAAAAAAAAATTTTTTTAAATAAAAAATAAAATACTAGCTGGGCACGGTGGCACATGCCTGTAGTCTCAGCTACTTGGGAGACTGAGGTGGGAGAATCTGCTTCAGCCAAGGAGGTCAAGACTGCAATGAGTTGTGATTGTGCCACTGTACTCCAGCCTAGTTTACACAGTAAAATCATGTATCAAACAAAAACAAAAACCAGCTATAAAAGACACTTGGATGCCAGGTGCAGTGGCTTATGCCTGTAATCCCAGCACTTTGGGAGGCTGAGGCTGGTTGATCACTTGAGCCTAGGAGTTTGAGACCATCCTGGACAACATAGTGAGACCCCATCTCTACAAAAAATTTAAAAAATTAGCCAGGTGTGGTAGTGCATGCCTGTAGTCTCTGCTACTTGGGAGGCTAACGTGGAAGAATCACTCAGGCCCAGGAGGTGAAGGCTGCAATGGGCCATGTTCATGCCACTGCACTTCAGACTGGGTGATAGAGAAAGACCCCATCTCTAAAAAAAGTAAAAAATAAAACTAAAAGACACCTGGAACTATCTGGAAATTTGAATCTGGAATGGATGTTAATGACATTGGGGGATTATAGTTATTTTATTTATTTATTTATTTTAAGACAGTCTCGCTCTGTTGCCTAGGCTGGAGTGCAGTGCTATAATCTTGACTCACTGCAACCTCCACTTCCCGGACTCAAGTAATCTTCCCACTTCAGCCTCCTGATTAGCTGGGATTACAGGCGTGCACCACCATACCCAGTTAATTTTTGTATTTTTTTTTTTTTTTTTTGTAAAGACAAGGTTTCACCAGCTAGGAACAGTGGTTCCTGCCTGTAATCCAGCACTTTGGGAGGCTTTGGCAGACGAATCACATGAGATCAGGAGTTCAAGACCAGCCTGGCTAACATAGTAAAACCCTGTTTCTGGTAAAAATACAAAAGATTAGCCGAGTGTGGTGGTGGGTGTCTATAATCCCAGCTACTCGGGAGGCTGAGGCAGGAGAATCACCTGAACCCAGGAGGCAGAGGTTACAGTGAGCCGAGATCACACCATTGCATTCCAGCGTGGGCAACAAGATCAAAACCCCATCTCAGAAAAAAAAAAAAAAAGGCTTCACCATGTTGCCCAGGTTAGTCTTGAAGTACTGGGTGCAAGCCATCCAGCAGCGTCAGCCTCCCAAAGTGTTGGGATTACAAGTATGGCAGGCCAGATTATAGGTATTTTTGTTACATATGACAAACTTATTGTGGCTGTGTACAAGGGGAGTTATATGCAACCATATTTAGGAGTGAAATGTCTTGACATTTGTAATATACTTTAAAATGGTTCAGCAAAGAAAAATTATAAAGCAAAAGATGTTAATTATATGGGTGTCACTATTTTTCTCCAATAAAGCTGTGTTTCTGCATGCACTGTATATATACGTAAGCAGGAAAACTACATTTATGGTGACTATAGCTGGTTAGCTATAGAATTGGGCAAATGAGTATAGAAGGCAGATGAAACAAGATCTGCAAGAAAACAGAAACATGGCAGAATACATGGATGGTATACCAACCTTAACATATTCAACTGCTCTTGGAGAAAAATCACAGGCATAGGCAAAGATATTCGGATCTTCTTCTAAAAGTGGGAATAAACAGTTTCCAACCCCACAGCCAGCTTCAAGCATTGTTAACTTTTGATCTTCAAACTGGGGAAAAATAGCCCAAAGTTATAGTATACATTTACATAACAAAGAAATAAACCAAACTAAAAGGTCCAGAATATAAGAGGTCTCTGACCCCATGGTGCAGATGATACACAAGTGAACTAACAAGCAAAAGCTAAGACTGGTACTTCATTTGTCATCCAACATTAACAGTTTGGTGTGGAGGATAAAAACAGCACAATGGCTAACTCGGCTCTGGAGTTAAACTCTCAGCACTCAAATCTCAACTCCTTGGGCAAATCACAGCTCTGTGCCTCAATTTTACCTTGGGGACAAATGAGGACAATACTAATACACTTCACAGAGCCTGTAGAAGGCTCAAATGACAGGACATGTGAAGTTCTTAGAAAAGGGCCATGGTAAATAGCTCACTAACATTATTATTATTATTATTATTATTATTATTATTTTGACTTTGTCACTGAAGTCACTCAGTATGAATTTATATTTTTGTCCTTTTTAAATTCTAATGTTTAAATTTTTTAAAATTTAGAACACAGGGTCTCACTATGCAGCCCAGGCTTGGCTAATTCACACAGGCACAAGCTGCCTGCCAGAGCCTCTGGAGTAGCTGGGTGACAGCCACCATATCTAGCTCTTGATTTAAAATTTAATGTTTACAACTATCAGATCAGCTTAAAAAAACAGAAAACACCCTCTAAAGTTCCCTCTCCTATGTGTTAACCAAACCAGGAAATGAGAAAACTTTGGTGTTAAGACCAAACAGTATATTTCTCTCCTAAAATGCAAAGCTTTTGGATAGGCTTCTTAAATTTTCTACTTCACACTCTTCCCTAAGATTGCAATAAAGCACACCTTTTCACATTTTAAATGAAGAACAGCTCAGATAAGGTGTAATATTAGCTTACCTCTCTACATGATCTTAGCTCCTTAAACTCTCTGGTGGTCCAGTGTCTATCTTTGAAGAAATTAGTGCTATTTCTTTTGTAAAAAAGATCCCAGTTTTTCTGAGCCTCTTGTTCCAATTTTTGCTGTTTAAAATCAGACACCAAAGTTTGGTCTCTTTTCAGTTTCTCCTCTTCTTCAGAGCTGAGAATCCTTGCCTGCAGCCCTTTCCTTTGCAAAGAAGCCATCTCAGAAACTGACGGTAACAGAAACTTAAGGCAGCTGAAGATTCTCCATCCCCAAATAATATAAATCCATGCTAATAATGGATCAGATGCATTTCCTCAGGTGAGTTTCACGCCTCAAACAGCATAGGGTGCTTCGCAGAAAAAAACAATGAGATTCTGGTTAGTGGTTCTAGAACAGTGCAAGACGCCAGGTTCAATTCACCAAATATTTATGAGACGCCGACTGTACAAAAAAGATCCTGCCCGCTATAGGAGAGGTCACAAAGAAGATCAAGCCACAGTCCGTACTTCAGAGGGGATACATTCATTCAGTGGCCAGGACTATCTCATGCACCATACTTTTATTCAAACCAGACGAGTCAACTATTACAATAAACCGATTTAGTTTAGGAAAAGGCCCTCTCACGAACTGACTGGGAAACCCTATGGAGAAAACAGTCCTCAATTTTTGGTGCCCATGAAAGGGGTAACTTAAAAACCACAATGGCCTTAGCTGGAAGCGGGTGGTCAATTGCCAGATACAAGTGAATTCACCGTTTCCCAAGGGTCGGAGCTCCGTTTTTTCGGGGGAAATAAAGCGAAGCCTGGCGGGGGGGAACTCCGTTCCTGATCGCACTCACAAGAGCCTGTCGTACGGACCAGAGGGGGCGTCACTTTCCGGGGACTGAAGCCCTCGCTCCGCTATCACCGCGCGAAGTGGAGGAGAGACCCAGTCACGCGTGGCTGAGGTCCGGAGGATTCACCTCAGGACACTCAGGATAAACTGGGCCACGTAGGGCCCTAGACCCTGAGGAGGGCGCCCTTAATGACTAGCCGACCCGCGTATCTAGTCAGCCACGCTCAGGGCTTACCGTCATCAGTTCCTAAATTCAACTGTAGGGGTGGGGCCAGGAGCACTCACCCCACAGCCAGCCTCAAGCTTCGGAGGCAGAATATGGGTGGCATCGCAGCACAACTCTGAGCCAATCCTGAGGACCTCGCATTGGGATTCTCCCGGAGGAGTTCTTTTGCCATGGCACCGCCCCCGCCACTTCCGCTGGGGACCCGGAAGTTCCTACCCAACGTCGGAAGTCCCGCGGCCTTGCGGCCTCAGATTCTTCCCCCACCCCGAGGCAGAGAAAAGGGCTTGCTTGTGAACCCCTGTGGGCGCCGGCTCGGCTCTCCTTGCGCTTCAGAGCCGTGTCCTCCCAGGAGCACCGTCCTTCCAGACGCCAAAGCCGGAAGCTCCGGTCGCGGCTGCGCCAGGAGAGCGCCGATCCGGGTGCGAGGTCAGTGCGGGACCATGAACGGGACCGCGAACCCGCTGCTGGACCGCGAGGAACATTGCCTGCGGCTTGGGGAGAGCTTCGAGAAGCGGCCGCGGGCCTCCTTCCACACGATTCGTTGTAAGTCAGCGCTCCCCACAGTTCCCTGCGGCCGCTCCAGGCGCCACATATCAACCCCTACTCCTTCCTTTCTTCCCTCGGCCCTTCAGATTCCAGGGAACCCTCTGCCAGCGTCAGTTACCTTCTCTCGAACCCCAAATCCTTGGGTACCTCGATTTGTCCCTTCTTTTACCCAGATTATTTCTCCCAAATCTTCGTCACCTCCTTCTATTCTTCTACCTCATAGTCTCAAACACTAGTTCCAAAGGTCATGGCCTCTTTCCATTTCCATCCCTCCCCGACCCCCCACCTCGCCCCTAAGGCAAACCTCCCCCTCCTTCACCAGGCAAACCTTTCCTCTCTTATCCAGGTCCACTTCTCCCCCCTCGACACCCCTCTTCCTCCTTTCCGATGCTCCCATCAGGATTCCCCACATTTAAAAGACAGTTCTTGTTTGCTGTGAGCCTCATCCACTCCCTCCGAATCCATTCTCTTCCCTGTTTTCCTCCTCCGACTTGGTCCTGGACACTCAGATACTGTGCTTTGTCCCCTCTACCGCCAAAGAATTGGCATCCTCTCTGCCCTCGTCAGAGTCTTCTTCCATCTCCTTTCTGTGCTTCCTTTGACTTGGATCTCTTTTGAGGTTACCTTTACCACCCTGGCTTTTCCTCCAGACCAAGTTCCTTGGTCAAATTAGAGTTCATGAGCCTGGGATAGGTTAAAGATTGGTCTATGTTTGGAAGCAGAAGAGAGGAGGCGCAGGGAATGCCGAAATAGTCATTATGCCGGACCTTTTTCTACATGATTATAGACTCTGCTGAGCGAGTGCACTTCCACCCTATGTCCTGGGTGAAGATTTGGCAGTTAGGAATTGGCTGACAGAGCATCCCTTCGTGATTCATGAACTTCTGGTTTCCGTGGCACTAACGCTGTTGTTAAGACTTGTTTTTGTCAGAGGACCTAATAGATGTGACTCAAAACATGTGAAGAGGGCGTGTTAGATAATGAAATTCCATCTTTGTGTGGTCACTTGTCATGCCATTACTATGCTTCCTACTGACAGATAGCACTTTCAGAGAGAGGAGATTGGGAATGAGATAAGAACATCATTTCCTGAACAGTTTACTAACTTGATGTTTTCTTCTGGTGAAGGGCAAGGTGTAATTTATCATATAGTTCATGTGTGCACCTGGCCTGCAGTTTGAGGCAGGTGTGAATGTGAATTAAGATGGCTATTCATGTTGTACTCCTAACCGCAATTTAGAAACATGAGCAGGATAAATTTTGGAGATACAGTTGTCTGCTCCGAACATCTACAGAAGTGTCTTGGTTAAAGCTGCGGAACTGGCCAAGAGTGGTGGCTGACACTATAATCCCAGTATTTTGGGAGGCCGAGGCAGGCAGATAGCTTGAGCCCAGGAGTTTGAGACCAGCCTGGGCAGCATAGTGAGACCCCATCACTATTCTTTTTCATATGCTATTACTTTTGATCCTCACAACCCTAAAAAAGCAACTTATTATGGATGATGAGGCATTAATTTTCATCTCTCCCTTGGGAGAAGGGAATGTCTTTGTTTAGTAAAATAACCTATAAATTCCTTTTCCCCGCTAGAATAACCCAAAGAGGGTCAGAGGAAAAGTATGTGGAGGTGTAGATGAAACAAGATTGTCCCTGAGTTGGTAATAATTGAAACTGGATAATGGTACACCAGGGCTCATTGTGCTATTCTCTCTACTTTTGTGTATCTGAGGTTTTCAGTGGCTCATTCCTGTAAACCTAGCATTTTGGGAGGCCAAGGTGGGCGGATTGCCTGAGTTCAGGAATTTGATACCAGTCTGGGCAACGTAGTGAAACCCCATCTCTACTAAAAAAATACAAAAAATTAGCCGGGCGTGGCAGCATGCACCTGTAGTCCCAGCTATTCAGGGAGCTGAGGTAGAAGAATGTCTTGAACCCGGGAGGCAGAAGTTGTAGTGAGCTGAGACCATGCCATTGCACTCCAGCCTGGGTAACAGAGTGAGACTGTGAGACTTTGTCTCCAAAAAAAAAAAAGAAATAGATGTTTAAGAATTCTAAATTAGTTTTATTTTCTATTCATCTGAGTAATAACAGTTTAAATTCTTAAATGGAGATGCCCAGGAAGCCTTATTATTAGTAACCTGGGGGATAAGTGCTTTGTTTCCTTTCCCTTTAGATGATTTTAAACCAGCATCTATAGACACTTCCTGTGAAGGAGAGCTTCAAGTTGGCAAAGGAGATGAAGTCACAATTACTCTGCCACATATCCCTGTGAGTTTATTTCATTGTTTTTTTAAATGTGGGGTCACAGTGAATTCTTGTCTTTTATATTATTGCAATTTAAACTTCCTACTTTTAAAAATGTTTAGATTTCTAAAGTGGCAACATAAGCAAAAAAGGGATTTGAGGGAGTGGGGTGGGGTGGACTTCATGCTAGGCAGGTGCTTGATTAAAAATAATTCTTGTAATCCTAGCACTTTGTGAGGCAGAAGTGTATGGATAACTTGAGCTCAGGGGTTCAAGACCAGCCTGGGCAATATGGTGAAACCCCATCTGTACAAAAAATACAAAAAATGAGCTGGGGGTGATGGCGCATGTCTGTGGTCCCACGTACTTGGGAAGCTGAGGTGGGAAGATCGCTTGAGCCTAGGAGGTAGAGGTTGCAGTGAGCCAAGATCATGCCACTGCACTCCAGCCTGGACGACGGAATGAGACTCCCTCTCATTACAAAAAAAAAAAAAAAAAAAGATTCTTTGTCGTTTTGCCCAAGCTTCCTTTTCCCCCATCTGCTACTGAGTAGACAAGGTTCTTGTTTGGACACCTAGCCCCTCTTTTGATATAGCTTTTCTCCCAAGCAACTCCAGAGAGAAAAGCCCTAGGTGCCCTGCTGATTATATGGCCACAACAGCTCAGGAGTGTGAGGCAGCCAAGCCAGGAGTTAAGGCAGGCAGGAGCCAGAGGTTTGGCACATTCCCCTGATCTAGGGATGGAGAACTAAGTTAAAAGCTGGATTAAGAACCCTTGCAGAGAAAGACTTTTGTGAATTAGTGCCCAAGGCAGCACTAATCACAAAGCACCAGAGGGTCACATGATGCTCTAGTGAACATGTGTTATTGCATGTCACACATCCTGGAATGTAAGTTCTTGGTAGCTGGTGACAGAATGAAAAGTCTCTGGACAGGGAGATCTGGAAAGCTTTGTACTGAGGAAAATGGTCTGCCTGTTCAAACTGCTGTTTGATTACTTGTTGCCTTTGGCAGGTTACATCATCTCCCTTTGGACCTTAGTTTCCCATATGTAAAATCAAAGGTTTAGATAAATGGTCCCTAAAGTCCTTTCTAGCGCTATAGTTTTACTATATAAATAAGCAGTCAAAGAGCCAAGTGGTTTTTTATTCTAAGCAAGGCATTAAATACTATATTCAACAAATATTAATCAAATGCCTCCCACACATTGGCCCATCACTAGGCATGAAGAACACAACCTTGAACAAAACAAGCACATTTCTTGCCCTTGTGGAGCTTATGGTCTGGAGTTTAAATAAATATTAGAAAATACAGCAGTTATTCTAAATCAGGGGCGGCTTCCATAAGGAAGTAACCTGTGAGCAGATCTGGAGGTTGGGTAATTTAAAGAGAGCGGGCAGGATATAGCCAAAGAAGCCTTGTTAAGACTCAGAGGCAGGAGAGAGCTTGAGGATCTGAGAGAAGCCAGTTGCCTTCTGCTTTGAAGCACATGCCCAGGGGCATCTGCTGCAGGGTAAGGTGGAGAGTCAGGGAAGGGCCCAGTAGTGCAGGGTTTCCTGGCTAGTTTAAAGATTTTATCCTTTGGCTTCAGAGCAACTGAGGAGTGATTGAAAGGCTTAGGCAGATGAGTGACCTGATTGATTTATTCAGAGCCAACCAGGAAAATGACCCGCTCTTGGAGAATGCTCTGTTGGTTGCTTGACTTGAGAAGGGGAAACCCTGGACTATCTAATTAAGAAGAAATAAAGGGATCACTCACAGTTGTACCATACAGAGTGATAGCTCTGCTTAGTATAATGCAAGTAATGGTTCATTTGTTTTTCTCTCTTGGAACATATACAGTAATTTAAAATTTTTATACTACCTTTCTTGATTACTTAGAACGCATTGCACATTCACAGATTCTTGCTATATTATTTCTCCTTTATTTTCGCCTGGGAAACCAGAAGGAATTAAAATAGAAATCAGTTCGGTCTATTCTTTTTAAATAGCTCTAATAAAACATTTTATCAGGTAGAGTCATCTATAAATTCAGTTGGTATTCATAACTGGTTTGTTTAGTTTGATCATCTTATACTTTTGTGGCAAATAGGGATCCACGCCACCCATGACTGTGTTCAAGGGGAACAAACGGCCTTACCAGAAAGACTGTGTGCTTATTATTAATCATGACACTGGTGAATATGTACTGGAAAAACTCAGTAGCAGCATTCAGGTGAAGAAAACAAGGTATGTGAATAGCTAGATGCAGGTTTATATCATGTTTCTAAACCTGTCTTATCTATTTAGTTTTTATAAGGTTGTGAACATCTGCTTGCTCATAGTGTTCTATCAATAATCTTAACAGCTCTACCTGTGCCTTCTCAGACAAATCAGTAAAATATGTCTTACTCAAATGCAATAAAAAGAAATAATGTTTTTAAGACCTAAAACATGGGAAGCATTAGGGAAAGGGATGTACTTTATAATTAAGCCAATTTTGTTAATCTCATGATTGCTACAGTACCACCTAAGGAATAAGATAACTTATAGACTTATAATTATGAAATAATAATATATACTATACTTCATTGGAGTGAAGACATTAATTTTTTTTACAAGATACATTTGAGATCACTATAATACCAAAATAAAACTTTGCCTGTTTTTTAATATAGTGAACTCTTTAATTCAACAGTTATTACATGTCTAAAATGAAGCCAGTTAGACTTAATTTGAAAATAAAAAATGTATTCTATAAATATAAATAACTGAGTGGTTCTATTTGTTACCTTATAATACAGTATTATTATTATTATTATTAAGAGTCAAAGTCTCTTGCTCTGTCATCCAGGCTAGAGTGCAGTGGCATGATCATAGCTCACTTATAATACAGTAATTATTATAATACAGGAATTAAATTATAAAGATGGTCACAACCTGATTTTTTTTGTTTATGTTTCAGTAAGCCATTTTTTTGTCCCTCACTTATTGCACAGAAAATGAAAATAGGTAGCATTTATTGAGGGGCTGTCATGCCCCAGTCTCTGCTAGATGCTTTATGTGCATTGTTTTTGCTAACAAGTAATTTTTAGAAAGGTGCTATCAGGGCCAGGCGCGGTGGCTCAAGCCTGTAATCCCAGCACTTTGGGAGGCCGAGGCGGGTGGATCACGAGGTCATGAGATCGAGACCATCCTGGTCAACATGGTGAAACCCCGTCTCTACTAAAAATACAAAAAATTAGCTGGGCATGGTGGCGCGTGCCTGTAATCCCAGCTGCTCAGGAGGCTGAGGCAGGAGAATTGCCTGAACCCAGGAGGCGGAGGTTGCGGTGAGCCGAGATCGCGCCATTGCACTCCAGCCTGGGTAACAAGAGCGAAACTACGTCTCAAAAAAAAAAAAAAAAAAGAAAGGTGCTATTATTATTTTTTACCCCTTTTTATTAAAAATATGGAGTGCTTCATGAATTTGTGTGTTTTCCTTGCACAGCATCCATGCTAATCTCTATCGTTCCAATTTTAGTATATGTGCTGCCAAAGCGAATATGAAAGGTGTATTATTATCTTTAAAAATAAAAAGAACATATGGAGACTGAGGGTTAAAGAGCTTGACCTACCCCAGAAAGTGTGCTGCAGGGTCCTTGCTCCTGCCTTGCCACTCTGTTTATTTGTGTTCATTACCTATAGTGAACCAGGTGCTACTGTTACTCCTCCAATATCTGATGGTTGTGGTCTATTCCCTTACTACTCAGTGTGATATGGGAACTAACAGCATCATATCAGCTGGGTTCATTAGACAGGCAGAATCTCAATACCTATTAGAGCTGAATCTGCAGAGATCGCCAGGTGATTTGTGCATATGCAAAAGTTTTAGAAGCACCAGGCTAGTCTGTTTACAAAAGAAATTGTTAACTGATAGAATATTCTCAGCTTGGGGTGGAGCTCTGCTTGTCTGTGAGCAAGAGCTGGCATGTGATGAAATGAATAAGCAGTATATAGATAATGGAAAAATTTGCAAGCTGGGCAGTATTTTAAGAGCTAGTTCATTTAGGAACTCATGCATTCATGCCTATACATAAGGATGTTTCAGTCAATAAGTGAACTACATATATGACATTGGATTCTAATGGAGCATGTATGGAAACCTGATAATGGCACCTGATACTGGCATTGCAGATCAAGTAGGGGAAGTGATTGATATTCAGTAATGATGGAACATTTGGTTTTTCATGTGAAAAAATTATATAACATGCTATCTATGTTTGTGTAAGTACACTCTGATGTTTGCATTATGAAATCACCTCATGATGCATTTCTCATTGTTAAGGGATGCATGACTGTATTTTCTAGTAGCAAATGGATTCTCATAGTTGCATTGTATCCTGCACTGTTTGCTATAACATTTGAGCTCATTGAGGGCAATGAATATTCTATTCATCTCTGTATCCCTGATGCATCATATAGTACTGGAATACAGTAGACACTCAAATGTTGAATGAATAGCTCACATGATAAAATTACAAATATCAGCATTTCAAAGTGGTCTGGAAAGGGGTTCTACAGAGACTTCTGAGTTTTCAGTCACCTGGACAAATTTGAGAACCACTATTTTTGCCCTTATGATTTAATGTCTATATTTCCTTTCAGAGCTGAGGGGAGCAGTAAAATCCAGGCCCGAATGGAACAGCAGCCCACTCGTCCTCCACAGACGTCACAGCCGCTGCCACCTCCACCACCTATGCCATTCAGAGCTCCAACAAAGCCTCCAGTTGGACCCAAAACTTCTCCCTTGAAAGATAACCCCTCACCTGAACCTCAGTTGGATGATATCAAAAGAGGTAGAGAAATTTTCTGGATCCATGATAGCAACATGGAGATCACATGACTGCTGTATTGATATGGTGGCTGGGGCATTCAATGCCATCAAAAACATTTCTGCAGAGCTCACTGTTCAGAGATGGGGAGGGTGGGGCCAGCTACCACTTACCTCATTTGACAAGGGTGAGTCTTGGAATAGTGACTTGAGTTTGTGGCTATCTTGGTAGCATACTGCTTAGGGGCCCAGGATTTAAACAAGCATGACTCCCATCCAGAGCTCCATATGGCACACCTCTAAGGCTCTGGAGAAAGGATTCTAGGTGTTGGAGGTGAAGATTAAGTGTAGGTGGCAATATTTCTGAGCTCTACGCTAGTATAGCGGCTGGAGGGGCTGACCATGGTGCTGCACACTAGTAGTTTCAGCTACTTTCAAGGCTGAGGCAGGAGGATCGCGTGAAGTTGGGACTTCAAGGCCACAGTGTGTTATGATTATGTCTGTTGGTAGCTACTGAACTCCAGCCTGGGCAGTATTGCCTCTTTTTTGGCAGCAGGGGTAGATTAAAGTGCCATTTAAAATACCGTAAGCAAATGTTCTGTGCTAACACAAAGTGTGTGAATATGAGAGGCCACGAAGATCGATGGAAACAGATACTGGCCTAGAAAGACTTAGAGGTCTGGTTTGGTTGTCTCCACTGCAAACCTGAGACAAAGAGGCTTACCTTGACTTTGTTTTCCTTCACATGATGAATGGTTTTACTCCTCCAGACTCTTAGAAGTTGTGAGGCCAAGTGTCATGTTTCCTATTTGTAAGTTTTAGAAAACAAATCAATACTAGTAGTAGGGAAAGATAAAGAGTTGTCCTTGGGAAGTTTGCCTTTTCCACCCTGTAGAAGGGCTGCAGACATCACTCTGCACTGTGCACAGTTGTTTTGCCTCTTATTTTATTTTTCCCCCTCATGGCTACTGGAATGCTGTTATGGAAGTTTTCACTTTGGCTGAATAGGAATCAGAGCATGAGTGGTTAATTGTTGCCAGTTATGCTTAAAGGAGCCATAGCCATTTAAGGCTACGTGGTATGTTTGGACAGGAAAATCTAGCATCTTTCTTGAAATGGTTAGTTAACATTGAAATGGTTAGGTAAGGCATGTTTTTCTTCCCTATTTTATATCTGTAAAAAATGTAGTACCTGACAGGCATGATATGTAAAGAGTGAAGAGGAAAAATGTTGTTTCACCATTTTTCTTCAGTCACCATGGTTCTTCCTGCAAGCCTCCATTTATTTGTGGGACATGAGAGCTGGAAAGGACCTTAGAGGCTGTCTGGCTTTCATTTTTTCAGAGTGGCTTAGAAAATTCATTGACTTCTACCTGGGTGTCATTGCTGGTTACAAGTAAATCTAGAACAAGCACTCAGACCTTCCAAGTCCTAGTCAAATTTATTTTTCAACCACTTTACATAATAGTTGTTTTCTCTTATGTGAGAATGATGGTTTTATCCCATAGTTCATAATATTCATAATTTTTTTTTGTTAGTAGATAAAGGCAAATTGACTTAATTCATTTTTTACACAGAACAGTCATTATTCTGAAACAGTCTTGCTTTTTGTTTATTTTGAGTGAATTTAATGTTCCCATTGATTCTCTGTTTGGTTTTGGTAGTTTTCTATGTGTTTTAAGGAATTGAAAAGTAAGACTTCGTTTTAAATGATTTCTTACTGCTGTCGGTTTTGCTGATTTACTATTTATAGGAGCTCCAATGCGTTGCTTTGAAAAGAGCTGCTGTGCTGACCCATGTCATATCATTTTTTCCAGAGCTGAGGGCTGAAGTTGACATTATTGAACAGATGAGCAGCAGCAGCGGGAGCAGCTCTTCAGACTCTGAGAGCTCTTCGGGAAGTGATGACGACAGCTCCAGCAGTGGAGGCGAGGACAATGGCCCAGCGTCTCCTCCACAGCCTTCACACCAGCAGCCCTACAACAGTAGGCCTGCTGTTGCCAACGGAACCAGCCGGCCACAAGGAAGCAACCAGCTCATGAACACCCTCAGTAAGTGTGTGCTCCCCTTTATGGCTGAGAGAGGGCCATAGGTGTAGCTTCTGTTTATCTTATTGCTAGAACCTGTAAACCTAAAGACATTTAAGGTATTATTAAAGATAATGTGTAGCAGGAAGGTGTGAGTTACTAAATAGTAAAAAAGGGAAATGAGATGAAAAATCTGTTCTTTCTCTTTATATTCCCCGCTGGCTCATACTGGTGTTTGTGAACTCTGGAAAATGCTAAAGCATGAACAGGTAGGCTGTTTTTGCCTTTATACCAGGCTTTGGGGAGCTACCTGCCATCACACTGCTCTCTGCCTCTTGGTCTTTTTTTTTTTTTTTGGAGATGAAGTCTTGCTCTGTTGCCCAGGCTGGAGTGCAGTGGCATGATCTTTTTATTTTTTTGCAGAGACAGGGTTTCCCCATGTTTCCCAGGATGGTCTGCAACTCCTAGACTCAAGCAATCCACCTACCTTGGCTTCCCAAAGTGCTGAGATTACATGCAGGAGCCACCATGCATGGCCATTTTTTAAATTTTCAGTAGAGACAAGGTCTCACTGTTTTGCCCAGGCTGGTCTTAAACTCCTGAGTACAAGTAATCACCCCATCTCCCAAAGTGCTGGAATTACAAGCATGAGCCACCATGCCTGGCCTGGGTGGCTTTTAATGGAGTTGATGCTAAAGTAAAACAGGAAAACAAAAACAAATTTACTTGTTTTGAAGGTGAGCAGAGGGCTAATTTTCTATGCTTTTCTCTCTTTGGAACCCTGATGAATGTTCTCTTTTGGTACACCTTCCTTTGAGGAAGTTGGAAGGTCTAGAGGCAACACTGGGGAACTTAACCTAGTTAACACAACTACTGTGGACCAGGCAGAGATAATCTCAGCCTCAGCACTATGGACATTTTGGGCCAGATAAGTCTTTGTGGTAGGTTGTCCTGCACACTGTTGGATGTTTAAGAGCATTCCTGACCTCTATCCACTAGATGCCAGTACCAATCTCCTCCCACCTCCCCGGCCCCATAACAGCCAAAAATGTCTCAAGACATTGCCATATGTGCCCCATCTTTAACATAGACTGAAGTATATGAAGAAAATCTGGCATTGTAGGTAGTTAGAAAAGGGGTGACTTCAGGATCAGCCCCCCTGAAAGGGTTTTGTGGACCCCCGAGTCCTCAGAATAGACTTTGAAGACAACTGGCTTAAAGATTAGCAATTCGGAAATATAGAAATTCACTTTTGTTACAAGTAGTATCAACTGGAGTTCTGTTATGTGTATTCCTATTGTATTAGATTGAAATGTTGAGAATTATTCTAAATTCTGCACAGTAAACAAGAATCTGGGGCTTTGTAAAGCTCGTTAGTTCAGATTTGAAGATTAAGGTAATGTGAATATCCTGGACAGAGGTATGCCAGAACAGATACTGCATTAGCATATTACTAGTGTTAACAGTATTCACTTTTCTTAATAGGAAACCTAACAATATTTTCTTAAGTTGCTTTTATAAAGCAACTTAATGTGATTAGTTCTACCAAATGGTGAATCAGTTATTTTAAATATATATATTTTTTCTTCCCTTTGAGATGAGTCTTGCCCTGTTGCCAGGCTGGAGTACAGTTGTGCAATCTTGGCTCACTGCAACCTCCACCTCCCAGTTTGAAGTGCTTCTCCAACCTCAGCCTCCAGAGTAGCTGCGATTATAGGCATGCATCACCACACCTGAATAATTTTTGTGTTTTTAGTAAAGACAAGGTTTCACTGTGTAGGCCAGGCTGATCTTGAACTCCTGACCTAAAGTCATCCTCCCACCTTGGCCTCCCAAAGTCTTGGGATTACAGGCGTGACCCATTGTACCCGACCATATTTTAAATATTTTCTTGCTATTTATTAAGCCACTTAAAAGCTATTTAGCTTATTCCTTCTTTGTTCTACCCTAATAAGCAGTATTGCTGTGCTTTGCAGATGCCAAAAATAGCATCTTTTAAAATGTTGACTGCACTGTTTTGTTTCAGTGAGCCAAATATATTTTCTTCCCTAAGTTGAATTAACAAGCTTTTACTGTAGTGTGATATAGCCAAGGCAGTTAACCAAAAAATTGTGAGGAAGTCATTTTTAAATTCTGCACTTTTGTTTGATTCTACTATTTGACTTTTTTTCTTCTTTTTTTTTTTTTTTTTTTTAAATAGGAAATGACTTGCAGTTGAGTGAGTCTGGCAGTGACAGTGATGACTAGTGCTGGATCCTTCAAAATCTACTTTTTGGTGCACAAACATGCCGCAAGACCGGGCTACTTTGGCGTGGAGTCCATTGCCAAGAGGAAAATGTTATGGATCAGTGACTGTAGTAGGAGTTTGAGGCTCTGGAGCTCTCACATATTCAAGTCTTTAACTTAGTGGTGATGGGTGATTTTCTCGTGTCATTTTTGAACAATCTCATCTTTCAAAGTTTAAATAGACCTGTAGAAGAGCTAACAATTATATTTCTATTTAGTTAACATTGTTAATGAAAAACAAGACAAATGATGTGCCCTGGTCTAGGTTACTCAAAGGCCGTATCTTCACCAGGCCAGGGATTCAGTTTTAAACCTCAGCAGCCATCAGTTTGGCCAAGTGGTTGGCACCAATGTCATGAAAGTCTATGAGGGCTAGGAGAGAGAGGGAAAACCTCAAACCACATCATAGAAACATATATGTTAAAACCGCTTTAAATTGTTGACACAAAGTGGTAAGGAAATTTTGTCTGAATCAGCCTGACAAGCCTGGATAGAAATGGATCTGAGAATTCAGAATGGAGTCCTTGAGTGTCAGCTGGTCAGGACCATCATTTACAGACTAAGAAAGGGAAGTACACACCGGCTTGTGGCCAGTCTCCTGCCCCCTCTCTGGGCTTTCCTCACTCTTTCCCTTGAATCTCATTTGTAGGAATCAAGAGATTTCTGTACATAGGACTTGTAGATGTACATTGGCATGCTGATTAGATTCTAAAAGACAGAAGTGTTGGGTGCTTCTAGCTTGAATTCAGATCCGGGCAGTCCCACATGAGACTGGGTGAGCAGATGAAACTGGTAGCCACTGTGCCGATGCATGTGACTCCGTTCAGTTCAGGCTTTTGGTTCCATGTGGATCCATACTAAGGATTCTTCAGTCAGTGGATTTTAGCAGGGGGAGGTAGCGCAAGAGAGGTGTGACCTCTCTGAACAAATGAACCAGCAGTAAGTTTCTAAAAATCAGAATCTAGATAGGAGTTCTGCAATATGAAATGAGCACATTCTTTGATAAGGCATTTCTGTTCATGCTTTTATACCACTGTTTGTACCTGACTCCCTGACTGATTTGTATTTTTTATATACAACTAGAAGAAAGTCACAAGATTGTCTTCTATGGTGTGCCGTTTCCAAATGAATCTGTTATTGCAGGAAACTGGTCGCTAGTAAATGTTCTATATTTGGTGAATGTGTGATAAATCATCCTGTAATCAGTATGGAGTCCCCTCTTTCTGTAGTTTGGATGAATATGTCCTGAGAAATTTTCATCCACTTTGGTTCAGCGGACATCAAGATAGTAATAATAGTTTTTCCTCCATAGGTCCCTCCACTCAGATGGCCTCTCCCTTCCCTGCTAGTGGAGGGAAGCAGTCTGGACTTAGAAGGGAAATAGGTGGTCTGTGGTGGGGGCTTTGATTACAATTATACCTCATAGAGTCAACTGTTGCATCATCATAGTGAGCCCAGGGAGCTGTTGCCCAGCAGCATTCTCATACCATCTATCCTAGTGTAGGTAACAGGTCTACGCTACGACCCCATGCCAGGTTCTCAGCCCATCATGAGATTTTTGTGGATTTAATAGCAGGTAGGAACTTATTTCAGTGTATTGGTAATTGCTTTATAATTCCTTGGTAATGACAGCTCAGGGAAGGTTTTACAAGGTCATGATTAGGAGACTTGAATTGTTACTGGATATAGGAATTGTTTCACTGCTCTTAACTTGCTCAAACTGGGGCAGGTTCCAGGAACCTGAACTGAAAATACCTAGTTAAAGCTCTCTGTCTTTTTTCCCTGCCTATTCTCTGAAAGCCATGATTTCTATAGACAGACTGTGGTGTTTGGCATGTTGGGTCAAGACGTGTTTCTATAGGAAATGCTTGCATGTGGCACTGGCTTGGTGAGTCAAGCTTCCTGAGCTTCAGACCCTCAGGTCCTGCCATCTGTCCTGCCCAACACTGTATGGTTTTTCTCTAGCATGGCTTCAGTTTTATTCTCTGCACAAAGCCTTTGGTGGTTCTGTCCCTCTGCCCCCTAGCTGTATCCATCAGAGTAAGAATCTTTTCTTTTCAGAAGTCAAGAATTTGGCTTCACAGATGGCTTCTCACAGATGCCCTCCTGCCAGTCAAACCAGACTTGTTCTTCCTGCCTCTGTGCCTTCTCTCATTCTCCCTCTCTCCCGCTCCGAGCCCCTGTTCTGAGGCTCTGTGGAGTGCCCTGTGTGTACATACTGACTTTTTTTTTTTTTTCTTTTTTTTTTTCTTGAACTCTGGTTAGTATGAGCTCCTTAAAAGCAGGAACTGGGCTGGGTGTGGTGACTCATGCCTGTAATCCCAACACTTTGGGAGGCTGAGGTGGGAGGATTGCTTGAGTCCAGGAGTTTGAGAACAGTCTGGGCAATGTGGTGAGACCCCATTTCAGCAAAAAGAAAAAAAACAGCAGGGACTATTATCTCTTCTCTGGGGTAGCCACAGGAATGGGCATTCAAATGATTGTAGCCTGTGGGGGGAGGGAGAAGGCAGAGAAAACTACTCAGCCAGTGAAGTGCAGAGGATAGACATAAGAAAGCATTCCAGGCACTTGGAGACAGCTGAAAGTATCCATGCTGACTTACATGAGTTAGAAGTCTTTAACTGAATTGTTAAAATTGCCTTTTCTTTGCGCTGTACAATGTGTACTGTACTGTGGGTCATTTAGATGAGATTAAAGACTTAATTAAATCTGGTGTCTGAGGCACTTAGTAAGCCTTAGTAAAGTTGTGATTGAGGAAACAATACAAATGAACTAGAGATTTGTAATCATGCCACTCATTAATGATTTTATTTCTGTATTAGAATTATTTTTTCTATGTCAGAGGTTAACGTATGTGTATGTGCTTCAGTTGTAGGAAAACTTGAAAATTCCAAAATCCTTAAATCCTTATTTTCCTATTTGAGAGGCTGGTTCAGCAGGGTGGGTGGGTGGGTGGGGGTGTGTGTGTGTGTGTGTGTGTGTGTGTGTGTGATGTATTTATTATATTATTTTGAAAGAGAATTAGTGTGTTACATGTATAATGTTAGATACAGCCAAATTGGATGTTTCTATTTGGCAAGGAAGATAGGATTTCTGAAACTCAGGCCTTAACCAGTAGGTTGGAAGATAAGACCAATTGAAGAGTTATGAAATGTGAGTTTTTGTTGCTTCCATTATTTCTGTCTTGGTTTTGTTTTCTCATTCTTTATTTTTAAAATCTTGTGCCTGAAAGTTGTTGTTGTTTGTTGTTGTTGTTGTTGTTTTGCTTAATTATGAAGTAGACACGCATGTTTACATTTATGTAAAACATTTTCTGTGTGAAGTATTTTTTGTTTATTCTCTTAAAAGATCACTATATTTAAATAAAAATGAAGGTCAGCAATACCTTTAACATCTTGGTGGGTTTCATTTTCTTTCTAGAAACCAATGATCAATATAGGTTTCTTTTAAGAAGCTTCTGTGCTTAAGCCTAAATAGCTAACTAAATGGATTCCTTTTTAATTTGATGTTTATAATCATTAGGAAGTATACCTCAGCTTTTAAAAGGTATGAAGTTCATAACTAAATCACATCTGAGGCCATTTTACTTGGTCTGAAAAGGTAGGCTTAGTTTTGGGTCTGAGAACCATGCAATGGCTAAACTGAATCCCTAGACATAGCCTGTTGTCAGTTTTCCAGATTCTTTCTGCCTGGAATGCCATGCCACACACACATACACCTCTGACCCCCAGCCGACATCTGGCTAGAAGTGATCCTTCCCTCCTGCTTCCATTCTACACTTTTGCTTCTGCACTGCTCACATTTACCTGTGGTCTTGGCTCCCCTGCTAGACTGTATAAACTTTTAGGTGGGCAGTGGCCATATTCCTTTTAACTTCTCTGTAGCATCACTAATGGGTGCTCAATACATTTGGATTGAATTAAACTACATGTTAAGTCTAGAAATCCTCTACTACTTACTCTGCAATATGCTCGTTCCCTCAGATGGCAATAGGAGTTAGACTTGAACCATCTCCATGGGGAAGTTGTGTTCATCACTGAAGGGAGACCTATCTTCATTAACTATTGCCTCCGTAATGTAATGTAACAAACCATCCCAAAACTCAATGACTAATAAGCACTTATTTTGCTCACAAGTTTGGGTTGGCTTTAGACTGGCCTTGGCTGGACAGTTCTGGTCTTGACTGGATCCCTCATACGCCTGGCCGTTGACTGAGGTTCACCTGATCTAGGATGGCCTTGGCCAGCACAGTGGGGGCAACAGCCTCTGCTCCATGTCATCTCCAGTAGCATAGCTCGGGCATGCTGTCATGTCAAAGGCAAAGAGGTATAAGAATAAGAGAGGAAACAAAATGCTTCTGTCGCAATTGCTAAGATGTCATTAGCCAAAGCAAGTTAGAGGTCCAAGTTCAGAATGAAGGGGTGGGGAAATACATTCCACAAAATTGATGGGAGGAGTTGCAAAAGACATTGGAAAGGGTATAGATACAGGGAGGTGGGAAGAATTGGGGCTATTAATACCATGTATTACATTCACTTGCCCTGTGACTCCACCATGGTTGAGAACACTAGGCCACATGAGCTCTAAGTCCCTTCCCAGCTCTGGCATTGTCCCTGGACAGACAAATGAAAGTTCCAGTAGGAGTGAAGATATATATATATATATATATATATATATTTTTTTTTTTTTTTGAGACAGAGTCTGGCTCTGTCGCCAGGCTGGAGTGCAGTGGTGCTATCTAAGCTCACTGCAGCCTCCACCCTCCCGAGTTCAAGCTATTCTCCTGCCTCACCCTCCTGAATAGCTGGGATTATAGGCATCCGCCACCACACCCGGCTAATTTTTGTATTTTTAGTAGAGACAGGGTTTCACCATATGGCCAGGATGGTCTCAATCTCTTGACCTCGTGATCCACCCTCCCTGGCCTCCCAAAGCGCTGGGATTACAGGTGTCAGCCACTGTGCCCAGCCTGAGTTAAGACATTTCTATTCATGGTTCATGCAGAGGGCACCAAAAGCAAGCCAATGGCTTCTCTTGGGTTGGCCCTCCCTCCTTTATTCACTGCGTATAGTGTGCTTCCCTCTTGCCATTTCTTTTTTTTTTTTTTTTTTTTTGAGACGGAGTTTCGCTCTTGTTACCCAGGCTGCAGTGCGATGGCGCGGGCTCGGGACACCGCCACCTCCGCCCCCTGGGTTCAGGCAATTCTCCTGCCTCAGCCTCCTGAGTAGCTGGGATTATAGGCACGCGCCACCATGCCCAGCTAATTTTTTGTAGTTTTTTAGTAGAGACGGGGTTTCACCGTGTTGACCAGGATGGTCTCGATCTCTTGACCTCGTGATCCACCCGCCTCAGCCTCCCAAAGTGCTGGGATTACAGGCGTGAGCCACTGCGCCCGGCCCCTGCCATTTCTTAACAAAAGCACTATTCCCCTTATCTGTTGCTAAGTAACAAGCTACTCCCCAGAACCTGGCTTAAAATGATCAATCACCATTTTATGTCATGGAATTTGTTTGTTAGGAATTAGGACAGAGCTTGTCTAGGTAGCTCAGCTTCTTGTGGCTTCAACTGAGATCACTCAGTGGTACTTAGCTGGCAGATGGGCTGGACTGCAAGGTCCAAGCTAACTTCACTCGCATGCCTGGCACCATGATGGGATGGCTGAAAGCAGGCTCCTGGAACCTCTGGGCCCATGGATTGTAATGGTGAATTGCTCAAATGTAACAATCTCCTTGGTGAGTCGCCAAGGTCCTTGACCTGTAAGCTGATTATTACTACACAGGTGCTGAAGAACTGCTTCACTGAAAACTTAAATTGACTCACTCTACTATGGGGGAAGGATGGGGCCAAACAACTCCAGTAGAGCAGGCATGGCATAGGTCAACCCACTAACTGTAATGAGCTTTGGAGATTCTTTAGCAATTTGAACCAAACATACCCTCTATGGCCCTAACGGAGTGATGGCCTGTGTGTCTGTCCCAGGAGACACTCAGAAATTGTCCCACCCCCTTCCCTAGCACTAGTTCCTAAGTGAAGTGCTGGTGACCAAGCTTCCGTCAAAAACCTTACTTTGCTTACAAATTGTTACTAAAACGGCTTTGCAGGTGGATAGGTAAGAAGCCTAGGGCCAAACCCCAACGCTACACTTCCCTGGTCATGGTAAGAGTTCTGGGACGGCCTATAGAATCCCAGAGACAGGCTGGATCCTTGGAGGTCAGTTGAGCAGAGCCTGAGCTTCTGTTACTGGTGAAAACATCAAAACCAGTCCAGCACTGAAAGAGTAAAAAAATCAGTCTAGATCAAGAGAGTAAGTCAGCTCCATGCCCCTACTGTGCCTCAGACTGTCAGTCGACACTCAGAAAGCCAGCTGCAATGTTACCAGGAGGAATATTTCTCCCATGCTGCTGCAATTGAAAAGCGTCATAACCAATTTTTTTTTTTTTTTTTTTTAAACCTTTAGAGGGAGTCTCGCCCCATCACCCAGGCTGGAGTGTAATGCATGATCTCAGCTCACTGCAACCTCCGCCTCGCCGGTTCAAGTGATTCTCCTGCCTCAGCCTCCTAAGTAGCTGGGATTACAGGTACCCATCACCACGCCCCGCTAAGTTTTTTTGTATTTTTATTAGAGACGGGGTTTCACCATGTTGGCCAGGCTGGTTTCGAATTCCTGACCTAAGCTGATCCACCTGCCTCGGCCTCCCAAAGTGCTGGGATTACAGGCATGAGCCACTGCACCCGACGAACCATTCCTTTTTTTGAGTGACTACTACTTTCTTTCCAATGACATCTCTACCTTTGCTTTGTTACTCCCAATACCTGAAAAAAATCACTGTGAAACTTTGTGATTTCCCCAAAGAAGTGACTGATTTGGCCTGAGCCACTAAATGATAATGACAAATAAAATCCAACACTAAACAGTTTTTTTTTTTTTGACAGTCTCGCTCTGTCACCCAGGCTGGAGTGCAGTGGCACAATCTCGGCTCGCTGCAGCCTCAACCTGCTAGGTCCAAGAGATCCTCCTGCCTCAGCCTCCCAAGTAGCTGGGACTGCAGGTGCATGCCACCCCACCTGGCTGATTTTTGTATTTTTTGTAGAGATAGGGTTTTACCATGTTGCCCAGGCTGACCTCAAACTCCTATACTCAAGCGATTCACCCACCTTGGCCTCCCAAAGTGCTGGGATTACAGGCATGAGCCACCATGCCTTGCTGGAAAAGAATTTCTTGGGAGCCACTGGAACAGGCATTGTCTCTTCCTCTGGATTTTGCAGGGTGCAGATGTAAGCTTGAAACTGCAGCAGTCAACCCCTAAGGATCAAATTAATGGAAAGGTTCAAATAGTTGAAAGGATAGCAGAGGATGGAGTGGGGACCTTGATTGAGTCATGCCTGATTTCCACCCCACCCCAGTGGACTTTTAAAGTTACATGAACCAATAAATATCACCTTATGGTATTCAGATTGGATTATCTGTTCTTGCCAACAAAAGCATATGGACTGGCATAGCCTTCTTTGGTGACCAACTGCATCTCTGAGACCCTGTCTTATTCTAAGCCACTCCATGTGATAGCCTCAGGAGCAACTGAGGGAATCCATTCCTGCTCCTAGGGTATGTGCTCTCAGAGCTGAAGGGTAGGGGCCACACTCACAATCTTTTAGACTTGGAAGAAAAATCAGCC